GACTGTGCAGTCACTGATCTGTCATGAGTAGATCCAATCATTGGGTCCCATATGCTTCTAAGCCACTGGATCTGGGTAGTGTCTAGTGATTGTTTCTAGCTCTGGGCCTCTAGGACACTATGACACTCTGTACCTTGGGGGAACATCCCACTCCCCTATGTTCATCTTTATAAAATGATTGTGTGGTGTCCAGTGCAGTTTGTCATGTTGGGTGTCTACAGAGGGCTCATAGTGCACTGAGCATGGTTGTTGTAGTGATGTTATAATAAGGTTATAGGTTATAATTTCATGAGGTTAAGAATGTACCATCATGGCTTAAAGCAAGCCCATGCAAAAACTCTCCAAGAACAGAGAGACAGTTCACACTTTGTCAGGTCATTGAAGGGATGGGCCCAGCCCAGCCTCACAGGAAGAATGGACACTGGCTTAGGGAGCAATGGGGGAATCTGTTGCACCCTCGAGGGAGTCACCCCCTTCCTTTGGGCAGTTTGGGACTACGATGAGGTAATGCTCACCTGACTCTGAAGGGGGGGGGCAAAGCTAAGAGGAAAGAAAGGGCATGATAAAACGGAGAGAGACATTTCATAGAATCATAGAATACCAGGGTTGGAAGGGACCTCAGGAGGTCATCTAGTCCAAGCCCTTGCTCAAAGCAGGACCAATCCCCAACTAAATCATCCCAGCCAGGGCTTTGTCAAGCCTGACCTTAAAAACCTCTAAGGAAGGAGATTCCACCACCTCCTTAGGTAACCCATTCCAGTGCTTCACCACCCTCCTAGTGAAAAAGCTTTTCCTAATATCCAACCTAAGCCTCCCCCACTGCAACTTGAGACCAATGTCACACCCCAATTGCTCCCTCCCTCAAGTTCCCTGGCGAAGCAGATCAGTATTGTATGTTGCTAACGCTGTGGCAAGCATCACAAAGCATTATGGGAGGAGTTAAAGGTGTGAGTGTGGAATGGAAGATTCCTTTGCAGGTTTCAGGAGGCCGAGGAGTGGGGGGAAGAAAAAACAGCAGAGAGAGAGAGACAAAGCAGAAAATGGGTTAACTCTGTGCTCCTGCCTCACCCGAGATAAGACGTTGACTTCAGCCGGCTCAAGGCCACAGATGTGCTGCTACCTGCCAAGAAAGAAGGTGGCGGGGGGGGGGCGAGATTTCAACCCTGTCCCACTGTGAGAAAGGAGAATCACAGAACAAAATGCAGAGGCTGTAAAAAGAAGTGAGACTGACAAAGGCCAGCAAGAGAAAAACATGACTGTCTCATGGCCCTGAAGCTGGTTGTTTTGGGGAAAGCTGAAGAAGCCACAAAAGGCAGTCTGGACTGGAATACCAAGCACGGGGACAAAGGTCTCTGAAGGGGATGCCCCCAAGAAACACCAGGGCATAAAACCCTCTCAAGAGCAGAAGCAAGTTGGAGACTTTGCAGCGGAACCCCGGACGGCCTGTGCACAGGACAGACTCCTATCCATACCCCACCCCCTTCCTCTTCTGACGGTACCCCCAGGCCTGGCCAGCCTGGGGCGCCTTGGCTGTGAGTATGAAAGTGGGCCAGGGTTTGAGCACTAACACTTCTTCCTTCCTTTAAATGACGTGGAAGCAGTTCCCACACTCACCGCAGGTTTTTTTTTTAAATTATTTTATTAATAAAGCTTTAAAATCCAGACACTTGATGCATTTCGTCATCTCCTCCCCAAACGATCCTGTGGCGTCAGCCTGATCAACTGACGCTCCAGGCAGATTGGCAATGAAAATCTGTCACACCATTACTCCTTGTTCTGTCATCTGCTGTCAGTGAGAACAGCCTAGATCCATCCTCTTTGGAACCCCCTTTCAGGTAATTGAAAACAGCTATCAAATCCCCCCTCATTCTTCTCTTCTGCAGACTAAATAATCCCAGTTTCCTCAGCCTCTCCTCATAAGTCATGTGCTTCAGCCCCCTAATCATTTTTGTTGCCCTCTGCTGGACACTTTCAAATTTTTTCACATCCTTCTTGTAGTATGGGGCCCAAAACTGGACACAGTATTCCAGATGAGGCCTCACCAATGCCGAATAGAGGGGAATGATCATGTCCCTTGATCTGCTGGCAATGCTCCTACTTATACCTCCCAAAATGCCGTTAGCCTTCTTGGCAACAAGGGCACACTGTTGACTCATATCCAGCTTCTCATCCACTGTAACCCCTATGTCCTTTTCTGCAGAACTGCTGCCTAGCCATTCGGTCCCTACTCTGTAGCAGTACATGGGATTCTTCCGTCCTAAGTGCAGGACTCTGCACTTGTCCTTGTTGAACCTCATCAGATTTCTTTTGGCCCAATCCTCTAATTTATCTAGGTCCCTCTGTATCCTATCCCTACCCTCCAGCGTATCTTCCACTCCTCCCAGTTCAGTGTCATCTGCAAACTTGCTGAGGGTGCAGTCCATGCCATCCTCCAGATCATTAATGAAGATATTGAACAAAACCGGCCCCAGGACCATCCCTTGGGGCACTCCACTTGCTACCGGCTGCCAACTAGACGTGGAGCCATTGATCACTACCCGTTGAGACTAATGATCTAGCCAGCTTTCTATCCACCTTATAGTCCTTATAATCCATTAATCCAGCCCATACTTCTTTAACTTGTTGGCAAGAATACTGTGGGAGACCGTATCAAAAGCTTTGCTAAAGTCAAGAAATAACACGTCCACTGCTTTCCACTCATCCACAGAGCCAATTATCTCATCATAGAAGGCAATTAGGTTAATCAGGCATGACTGCCCTTGGTGAATCCATGCTGACTCTTCCTGATCACTTTCCTCTCCTCTAAGTGCTTCAAAATTGATTCCTTGAGGACCTGCTCCGTGATTTTTCCAGGGACTGAGATGAGGCTGACCGGTCTGTAGTTCCCCGGATCCTCCTTCCCTTTTTTAAAGATGGGGACTACATTAGCCTTTTTCCAGTCATCCGGGACCTCCCCTGATCACCATGAGTTTTCAAAGATTATGGCCAATGGCTCTGCAATCATATCTGTCAACTCCTTTAGCACCCTCGGATGCAGTGCATCTGGCCCCATGGACTTGTGCTCGGCCAGCTTTTCTAAATAGTACTGAAAACTTCTTTCTCCACAGAGGGCTGGTTACTTACTCCCCAACCAATAAGCAAACCAATAAGCAAAATGAAAAACAAAAAAGAAAAAATCAAGCAAACATGAGCCAAACCTCCCACACCTGATGTTCAGTTTTTTACATCAAAAAAGGAGAAGAGACAGAGATTTCATGAAGTTCACTATTAATATTCAGTGCTATGGGCTCAGGTATGGTGGAGATTATGTCAATACATAGATAGGTGTGTATGAAGATTTATGGATAGATATATAGATTCTGATCTTATTTACACTGGAATAATCCTTCTCTAACTAATTTCACTTCAATGGAGTTACTCCAGATAATACTACTTCATAAGCAGATTGCACGTTGTTCTCTCAAGAATGCAATTATGTCATCAGTTGATTATATTTTTAAAGAAGTGCAGAATGAAATCACGAGCAAATGCCAATGATGGACATTTTAACTCTTGGTGAACAACCTCCACACAATCAGTTTCTTCAATGCAACTTTGATCTCCTTGTTCCTCATGCTGTAGATGATCGGATTCATCATTGGAGGCACCACAGAATAGAGAACACCAACCATCAGATCCAGACCTGATGCTGAGCTGGAGGTGGGTTTCATGTAGGCAAAGGATGCAGTGCAAACTAACAAGGTGACCACAGTGAGGTGAGGGAGGCAGGTGAAGAAGGCTTTATGCTGGCCCTGCTCAGAGGGGATTCTCAGTACAGTTTTGAAGATCTGACACATTTATAAAAAACAAAGCAGTTTAAACCTAAGAGAGCACTAAACACAAGAACCGCAACTTCACTGAGGTACAAGTCAGAGCAGGTGAGCTTGAGTAGCTGGGGGATTTCACAGAAGAACTGGTTGATAACATTGGACTGGCAGAAGGGTAACCTGAAGGTGTTCCCAGTGTGCAGTGAAGCACAGCCAATACCACTGAGCTACCATTTGGATACAAGCTCTCCTGTTCATCACTGTCTCATAGTGGAGTGGTTGGCAGATAGCAACATATCTGTCATATGCCATGATGGTGAGTAAGGCAAGTTTAACTGCAGTGAAGGTTACTGTTGGGAGGGTACTGTCTCCAGGGTGATAAACAGTTCCTGGCTGTCGGGGAGAATGGTTTCTCTGCTTGCCTGGTGTGCGCTGTCTTCAACCTCCTCCTCCTCTTCCTCATCCCCCAAATTCTCAATCCTGTTGCATGAGACTCCCTTGCAGGAGTCCACGTACAGGGGTGGGGTAGTTGTAGGGGCAACCCCTAGAATTGCATGCAGCTTATAATAGAAGTGGCATGTCTGGGGGTCTGACCTGGAGCAGCCACTTGTCTCTTTGATTTTTTGGTAGGCTTGCCTCAGCTCCTTAAGTTTCACGCGGCACTGCTGCGGGTCCCTGTTATAGCCCCTGTACTTCATGCCCTTGGAGATTTTTTCAAATATTTTGGCATTTTGTCTTTTGGAACAGAGTTCTGATAGCACGGATTCATATCCCCATAAAGTGATCTGGTCCAGTACCTTCCGTTCAGTCCATGCTGGAGCTCTTTTGCGATTCTGGGACTCCATGGTCACCTCTGCTGACAAGCTCTGCACACCTGTGCTGATCAGCTTGCCAGGCTGGCCAAACAGGAAATGAAATTCAAAAGTTCACTGGGCTTTTCCTCTCTACCTGACTAGTGCATCTGAGTTGAGAGTGCTGTCCAGAGAGGTCACAATGGAGCACTCTGGGATAGCTCCCGGAGGCCAATACTGTTGAATTGCGTCCACACTACCACGAATTCGACCCGGCGATGTCAATTTCAGCGCTAATCCCCTCGTCGGGGAGGAGTACAGAAATAGATGTTAAGAACCCTTTAAGTCGACAAAAATGGCTTCCTCATGTGGACGGGTGCAGGGTTAAATCGATGTAATGCTGTTAAATTTGACCTAAACTCGTAGTGTAGACCAGGGCTAAGCAGTTTGCCCCTCTCAGAGCAATTGTCTCAGGCCCTCTATAGACTGAGGCAGGTGTTGCATTGGTTAACTGAGGATAGCCCCCTCCACCCATGAGTGATTGACTCATGCAAGACTCAGGTAGCCATTGCTCTATTGATTACACTTAGCTTTTGTCTTGGGGAAAATTTTCAAGCTTTCCTTCTCAACCATGAGGATTAGAAAATGGCTATAGCTTAGGAAAATGAAGCTGAGATTCTGTTGTAATGGCGTGACTCCTGGAGCTGAGGCCCTGGACACTGGTTTATAGGCCTTAAACTTTAATCCAGCCCCAAATGCTTTCCTAATACCACATTTCCGTATGCAGATCTGTTATGTATGCCAGTGGTGCCATAGCGCTGGGACCACGGTCGAAAGGGGCCCCGGCATGCTCTCCTCAGCCCCCCCCCCGCTCTCTCCTGTGGGGTCAGAGTTTGATGCTCTGGGCTGCTGCAGCTCCATGTCAGTCTGTGCTTGCAGCCTAGCTCCTGCCCCGCCCCTTTCCCCAGTGTGCTACATACATTCCCTCCCCCTGCTCCTTACTGATCAGCCTTTCCGGGGGGAGGAGGGAGGAGGGAGCCGCAGCACGCTGCTCCAGGGGTGTCAAGGCTGTATCCCCACTTTGAACTTTAGGGTACAAGAGTGGGGGCCTGCATGAGGACTTCTAAGCTTAACTACCAGCTTAGTTCTGGTCCGCTGCCACCATTCCCTACCCTGGGAAGCTTTTAGAAACCTCTCACCAATTCCCTGGTGAATACAGATCCAAACTCCTTGGATCTTAAACAAGGAGAAATTGACCCTTCCCCCCTCCTTCCTTTCACAAACTCCTGGTGAATACAGATCCAAACCCCCTTGGATCTTAAAACAAGGAAAAATCAATCAGGTTCTTAAAAAAAAGGCTTTTAATTAAAGAAAAAGGTAAAAATCATCTCTGTAAAATCAGTATGGAAAATAACTTTACAGGGTAATCAAACTTAAAGAGCTCAGAGGACCCCTCTCTGTCTTAGGTTCAAAGTACAGCAAACAAAGATAAACACTCTAGTAAAAGGTACATTTACAAGTTGAGAAAACAAAGTAAAACTAAGATGCCTTGCTTGGCTTTTTACTTACAAGTTTGAAATATGAGAGACTTGTTTAGAAAGATGGGGAGAACCTGGATTGATGTCTGGTCCCTCTCAGTCCCAAGAGTGAACAACCCCTTAAAACAAAGAGCACACACAAAAGCCTTCCTCCCCCCCAAGATTTGAAAGTATCTTGTCCCCTTATTGGTCCTTTTGGTCAGGTGTCAGCCAGGTTACCTGAGCTTCTTAACCCTTTACAGGTAAAAGGATTTTGGAGTCTCTGGCCAGGAGGGATTTTAGTACTGTACACAGGAGAGCTGTTACCCTTCCCTTTATAGTTATGACAGGGGGGGAGGAGGAGAAGAAGAGGTGGGGATGAGGCCTCTCCCCCGCCTCTTTCCCCAGCGTGCTACTCCCCTCCCCCGCTGGTGAGTTGGATCAGCCTTGCAGGCAGGAGCGGGGCAAGGAAGAGCAAGCCGCAGCACACCACTCCGGGGAGGAGGAGAAGACGAGCCGGGTTGAGGCCTTGGGGAAGGGGCTGGAATTGGGGCATACCCCCTCCAGCCCCCTGCGTGAGCACCCCCCCGAAATTCCATCAGCACCTAATCTGAATCTTTTGGCATCTAAATACCTTTGAAAATCTGGCCCTTAAATGATATTGAAAATTCTACCCCATCCAAATCCCGCTAGCCCTATTGACATGAGACATGTCAATGGTGTCTCTGACTAGGCTGGTGGCATGGGATCATCTGTGGCTTGCTGTGATAGAGCCTGGAGTTGCTGCCATTGACATTATGATGTAAAGCACCCCTGGATTCCCCTGAGAGGTTGTGTTGAGGAGACTTGGGGCCATGGATGGATTGATGGGGAGAACGTAAGCTGCGTTGGGATTGCTGAGGTGCAGAAGGTTTTGGCCCAGTGGGATGTGGAGGGTTTGATCTGAAGACTATATTGACTTGGCAGCTGAGATTTGCAAATCACCTAAAGGATTTGGGCACCTCATTCCCATTTAAAGTAACTGAGGACTAGGCATTCAAATTTCCTAGGCGGCTTTGTCAATTTCAGCCTTCCTCTGCTGAACACCTAAGAAAATATAGACACAGGAGTTGGAGATATGAGCTCTGAATCTCTCCACTGGGCTGAATTCAACCCTTGTGTAAACAGGTGCAACTCCACTGAATTCAGTTCACTAGGGATGTAGCCATCTTCACCATGGCACAAGCTGGTCCATGGAATGCTACGTAGGGCAAGGGCAGGATTTTCAAGGGAACCTAAGAGAATCAGGCACCCTTCTCCCATTGAATGTAGATAGAAGTTGGGTCCCACAGGTTCTCACTGAGAATCCCAGCTGGAGAACACAGCTCCCTTCACCACCTTTCCCAGCCAATGAAGCATGTGCCAGTGGGCCAGTTTCTTGTGTCTGGACAACAGTACAAATTAGATAGAGAGAGAGATAGGTTCGAAGGAAGGAAGGAAGAGGAAAATGGAAGATAAACAAGAAGAGGATGAGTAAGAAGTAGAAGAGGAAAGAAGAGAGACAGAATGAAACTGTAGGGGAAAGAAAAAAAGAAAGAAAAAGATAATGATGGTGATGATGATGAAGGAGAAGATGATGATGATAATGAAGTCTGTTGTAATTGGTTTCTAGCCATTAAAATGTATTGTGTTTGTAGTTTACAGTTCATAGGGGAAAAGACCAATATTCCATTCTTTGGTGAAAGTTTCCTGCCAAACATTTTCCCCAGCGCAGCTTTGATCTTCTTGTTCCTTAGAATGTAGATGAGGGGATTCATCACGGACGGTACCACAGAATAGAATACAGCCACCAACAGCTCCTGAGCACTGGTGGCAGCTGATGCTGGTCCCATGTATGCAAAGGTGCTGGCTCCAAGGAACAGAATCACCACCATGAGGTGGGGCAGGCAGGTGCAGAAGACCTCAGATTTGCCCTGCATGGAGGGGATCCTCAGCACAGTGGCAAAGATATGGAAATAAGACACCACAATGAAAGCAAAGCAACACAAGCCTATGCTCACACTGACGGTGATCACAGTGATTTTGCTGAGATAGGACTTGGAGCAGGAGAGCTTCAGCAGTGGCGGAATAGTGCAGAAAAATGCTGGATAACATTGGAGGGGCAGAAGGGCAGCCTGACCGTGTTACCAGTGTGCAGCACTGAGTACAGAGTGCCATTTGAGTACACTTCCCCGTGCTCATGATGGCCCCATAGCACAGAGGATTGCAGATGGCAAGGTAGCGGTCATAGGCCATTATGGTGAGGAAGGCCAGCTCTGCTCCCATGAATGCAATGATGAGGAATACCTGAGTGAAGCACCCCAGGAAGGAAATGGATGAGCAGTTGGTGAGGGAGTTCACCAGGGATTTGGGGACAGTGACTGAGATGTAGCAGAGGTCCAGGAAGGATAAATTAACAAGGAAGAAGTATATGGGGATGTGGAGGTGGTGGTGAAGGGCTATGACCATAATGATGAGAAGATTCCTCAGCAGAGCCCCCAGGTAAATCACTAGAAATACCACAAAGTTCAAAATCTGCAGCTCCTGGATATTAGAGAATCCCAGTAAAAGAAACTGAGTCACACTGATCCCATTGGCCATCTCCTTCATCTTTATGTTCTGTGTGGCCTGCAAAGGAAAGAGGCCAAGGGAATGGTTACGGGAAGGGCATCACAGGGGAATAACACAGGAACTTTTTCTTGACATATGTGCAATGTGCCTGAGGTGGCACATGGCCAGGATTCATCACCGAATTTGCTCAGTTTGTGATAATGGCATAGAGATACACTTATAAAGTTTGCCAATGATACCAAGCTGGAAGGGGCTGCAAGTGCTTTGGAGGGCAGGATTAGAATTCAAAATGATCTTGACAAACTGGAGATATGATCTGAATTGAATAGGATGAAATTCAATAGGGGCAAATTCAAAGTACTACGTTTGGGAAGGGCACAATCAATTGCACAAATACAAAATGGGAAATGACTGCCTTGGAAGGAATACTGCAGATGAGGATCTTGGGGTTATAGTGGATCACAAACTAAATATGAGTCAACAATGCATTACTGTTGCAAAAAAAGTGAACATCATTCTGGGATATATTAGCAGGAGTGTTGTAAGCAAGACAAGAGAAGTCTCTTGCTGTAGATAACAAATTTCTTGGTGTGTTTGATGTGGACCCAGGCAGACCCATCATATTTGGCCACATCACTCATACTGAAGGAATATCAGGACTCCTAGAAATCATCCTCAAACCACTCAAAACACAAAGGGCCAGCTTCCTCCATGACACAACAGACTTCCTCCACAAACTCTCAAAACACAAAGGGCCAGCTTCCTCCAGGACTAGGGTGACCAGATGTCCCAATTTTATAGGGACAATCCTGATTTGTAGGCCTTTTTCTTATATAGGCACCTATTACCTCCCACCCCTGTCCTGATTTTTCACACTTGCTGTCTGGTCACCCTATCCAGGACACAACAGACTTCCTCCACAAACTCTGCAGCATTAAAAACCTCCATCAGAACAACATTCTTGCCACCATGGATCCCACCTCCCTATACACCAATATCCCTCAATAACGGCATAGCTGCCCGCATCACATATTTACCACACAATGGACAATCCTCAGATATCCACTCCCAAACACATCACCATATTCAACTATAACAATTTTACTTTCAACAACAATTGTTTTTGTCTAAACCACGGGAACTACCATGGATACCAGGATGGCTCCCCAATTCACCAACCTCTTCTTGGGGCACCTTGAAGAAGAATTTCTGGAGAAAAGCACCATGAATCCAGTGATATACATGAAATACATCAATGATATTTTCATCCTCTGGACAGACAACTTAAACTCCTAGATTTCTACCACAACTTCAACAACCACCACCCATCCATTAAACTCTCTCTGGAACACTCCCACACCAGCACACTCCCACACTTCCTGGACACCACAATCAGCTTCAACAGTGGGACCCTACAGACAACCATGTACAAGAAACCCACAGATCACCACACCTAACTTCATAGATCCATCAACCACCTCGAACACACCAAGAAATCTGTTATCTGTAGACAGGCACTCAGATAACATAGAATATGCTCCGAAGAGAAAGTCCGGGATAAGCACCTTAACACACTCAAAATAGCCTTCACCAAACAAGGACACTCCACCAGATAGTATATCACATCATGGAATGGGCCACCCAAATACTCCGAGAGAACTGGCTTCAATACAGAAATAAAACACCCTCTGACCACACACCCCTAGTTATCACCCACCACCCACACTGGAATCCATACTAGATATCATAAAACAGCTACAACACATACTCAATGGTTAACCCATCCTGAAAGAAATTTTTCCTGAACCCATCTTTTGGCCTTCAAACAACCTGCCAGCCTCTCCAAGCTCAGCATCTGAAACAAGCTCCCCACAGACCAAGATACACCATCTCAAAGCAGCACCAGATCCTGCCAAAACAATACATGTGAAACTTGCAGATGTATTTCCACTGCTAGAATGATTAATGCCCCCCAAAACACATCTTTCAAGATCCACGGGTCTTACACATGCCTATCACAACATGCGGTGTACCTCCTCATTCAGAGCACTAAATGCCCCAATAACAACTATGTGGGTGAAACCAGACAATCACTACACTTCTGGATGAACTCACACAGGAAAATGATAAAAGACAAAAACACCATATTACCTGTGGGTGAACACTTTTCACAAAGTGATCATTCTATATCTGACCTCTCTGTCCTCTTCAAAGGAAACCTGCAAAACACCCTCAAAAGATGAGCCCGGGAGCTTAAATTCATAACTTTGCTAGACACTAGAAAGCATGGACTGAATAGAGACACTGGATCTTTGGCTTATTACAACAATCTGTAACCTACTACCAACCCCTCTTTCTTCCCTATGACTGGAGGGGTGTTAACGGGACGCTTAATCTTGAATGGTCCCTTGAAATATGTGTTAACAATTTATGCTAAACAATCTGTTCAAACCTTGTATTTAACAGTAACACTTTGAGTTAATTTCCCAGACTTGAAGAAGAACTCTGGGTAAACTCAAAAATTGTCTCTCTCACAGAAGTTGGTCCAATAAAAGGTATTACCTCATCCACCTTGTCTCTCATAGAGAAGTTATTTTACCTCTATATTTAGTACTAGTGTGACCACTGATGGAATAGTGTGTCTAGTTTCAGTGACCAGAATTCAAGAAAAATATTGATAATTTGGAGAGGAGTCAGAGAAGAGCCAAGAGAATGATTAAAAGATTATAAAAACATGTCTTACAGTGATAGACATATCGAGCTCAATGTATTTAGCTTAAGAAAGAGAAGGTTAAGGGGTGACTTAATTACAATCTATAAGTACCTACATGGGGAACAAATATTTAATAATGGGCTCTTAAAGCTATCAGAGAAAGGTCTAACATGATCTGATGACTGGAAGTTCAAGCTAAACAAATTCAGAATGGAAATAAGGCAAACATTATTAACATGGAGAGTAATTAACCTTTGAAACAATTAACTAATAGTTGTGGTGGATTCTCCATCAATGACAACTTTTAAATCAGGATTATTTTTTTTTCTAAAACATCTGCTTTCAGGATTATTTGGGGGAAGTTCTCTGGCCTGTGTTCTACAGCAGGTCAGACAAGATGATCAAAATGCTGGCCTTGGAATCTGTGAAGCTCTGAATCTCTATGTAATGATGAGCTAATAGTATTGCTCAGTAGCTTCTATGTTGTATCATTTCCCTCAGGAACTTTGTCTGTGTTGCACACATCAGTGGCAGTGAGGGGACTTGGGGGTCTATTCTTGGCTCTGCCACTGACTTGCTCTGTGACCATGGGCCTGTCACTTCCCCCTCTCTGTATCTCAGTTTCTCATCCCTTTCTCTGCCTTACTACTTCACTGTGAACTCTTTGGGGGATGGGTGTGTCTTGTTATGTATATGTTCTGTGTACCTAGTTACAATGTTTGTGCTCAACTGGGAACAGTGTTGGATACTGGATTTGATGCTAGAGCAAGAAGTCAGGGTTCTACACCCACTGACCTTCTCCATGTTCCTCTATCCTCCATGTCAGGATAGACAGGGTCTACCTGCAAGGTTCAGTTCTGTCCCTGTGTCTAAAGGTACTGGTCTGTATAAAAAACAAACTCTGTAAGTAGCAACTTTGCCGCTTACTCAATTTTACTTTCCTTTGAGAAAGAAATTAAAACAGATGCTGTCAGGGTTCCCTCCCCACGCTAAACTCTAGGATACAGATGTGGGGACCCGCATGAAAGACCCCCTATGCTTATTTCTATCAGCTTAGGTTAAAAACTTCCCCAAGGCACAAATTCTTCCTTGCCCTTGGACGGTATGCTGCCACCACCAAGTGAGTTAGACAAAGATTCAGGAAAAGGACCACTTGAAGTTCCTGTTTCCCCAAAATATCCCCCCAAGCTCCTTCAACCCCTTTCCTGGGGAGGCTTGAGAATAATACACCAACCAAATAGGTAACCAAGGTGAGCACAGACCAGACCCTTGGGTTTTTAGGACACTAAAAATCAATCAGGTTCTAAAAAGCAACAGAACTTTATTATAAAGAAAAAAGTAAAAGAAGCACCTCTGTAAAATCAGGATGGAAGGTAATTTTACAGAGTAGTAAGATTCAAAACACAGAGGATTCCCTCTAGGCAAAACTTTAAAGTTACAAAAACAGGGATAAACCTCCCTCTTAGCACAGGGAAAATTCACAAGCTAAAACAAAAGATACTCTAACACATTTCCTTGCTATTACTTACTATTTCTGTACTTTTAGATGTATCATTCAGTAGGAGCTGGATTACTTGTTTGGTTTCTCTCTTTGTCTCCCGAGAGAACACAAAACAAAGCCTCCCCCCCCCCCCCCCTCAAAGAATTTTTTTTCCCCTTGGTCCTTCTGGTCAGGTGTCAACCAGGTTATCTGAGCTTCTTAACCCTTTACAGGTAAAGGAGGGATTTTATGCTACCCTTAGCTGTATGTTTATGATACCCCACCCCCGCTTTAAAAGTATCTTCTTTCCCCATTGGTCCTTCTGGTCAGGTGCCAACCAGGTTATCTGAGCTTCTTAACCCTTTACAGGTAAAGAAGGGATTTTATGCTACTCTTAGATGTATGTTTGTGACGGATGCAATAGAATCATTGGGTTTCCAAATATGGTATTATTAGACAAAAGCAGGGTACCCCACCATTGTTTAAAGTGTAAGCCTGGCTGGAAATTTTGTGCTGAATTTTGTTTGTTTGTTTGTTTGTATGCATGGATGGAAATTTTGGTTTTTACCAAAACAATATTGTTCTCAGAATGTGTCTGCTTTCATAGAAAATTTCTGATGTTCTCTTTGAAAGCTGAAAACTCAGAAAACAAATCTTTTTCTCAATTTCTTCCTAAAATTGACACTTTTCATCTGAAAATTGCTTAATGCAGTCACCTCTATATGGAATGTGGGGGCAATGAAATAAAATATTACGCAGTGAAGAAATTTCCATTGAGAAATTAGCTCTAATGAAGTTACAGCACAAACACAGACTCAATCCTTTGAAGTTCAAACACTGCTCTCAGGAAGTCAGATGGAGCAT